CGAGCGAACGAGGAATCACGATACCCGCAAAACGAGCGCTGAATTAGATGCGGCGCGGGCCGCCGCAACGGCAAATGAATCGAGGTGCAATAATCGAGTTGTAAATTTTGCACGCAAGTTCATCTACCTCGGATACTCTCTCGAGTTTGACATTGAACATAGCAATGAAAACAATACGTGCTGAAAATTTTTAATCTCTTTAGTGCTGTGGTATGGAAAAATCTCGAAAAGATCGTATTATGGTATACGGGGACTCGTGCAGTCGCGAGAGTTAAAGAGCCCCCCACATTAGAGTATAGTTGGTTGGATTTTAATGCACATACACACAACACATGTGCGCTATCGAGTGCAGCTCGCGCTAAAAGGAATAGTGGATGTCCTTCGCGCATACGTTACGTACGTTCGAGCCGTGCACTGCACTGCACAACCCGCTCGGGCATATGTGCATTCGTGCATTACCCTTTTTTTTCTCTTTCTATTTCTTCTCTTTTTTTTTCAATTGAGACTTTGCTGCAAAAACCTCAAGGGTGTCATTACGGGTTGACGCAAGTACAGAAACACACATGCGCAAGCCACGGCGCATTACCGGAACTGTATCTGCTCGTTCTCGCGATATATCTGGTATGCAAAATATATATTTGTTCAGTGGAAACTTACACGATCGTTCTTTTTTCTTCTCTCTCTCTCTCTACTTTTTCATATTTTTACGCGAAACGATCGTCGTCACGAGACCTGCACGTCAATTCGTTTGTTTTTTCTGCTGAATTCCTAGACTTTCTTCGGAAATTCGACAACGACTCACGATGATGATGATGATGATGATGATGAAGACGTTACGCATCGTTTGCACATCCATGAGCCATCGTCGTAGTTTATACAATACTAATATATAAACGTGCGCGCGGTTGCGGACGCAAATTAACATTTTCGAATTTATCTACACCAGGCCGGGCAGCAGCAGAAAAAAAATTGTGTACTCTTGCCGACTTTTTCTCTCAAGGTTGCGCGCGGCGCACGACAGAAATAAACAAAACGCGGATTTTTTTTAAGCTAGGCAATACGTATGCGTTTTTTAGATAAGATGTGTACTGTCGCCGTGCTTTCAAGAGAGCAAAAATAATTTTTGGAAGATTTTCGGTACATTATAAAGCCATAAATAGTCCATGCAAATTTTGTAATCGTTGGTGATTTGTTTTTTCGAATTCTTTATGCGAATCGCCAAATTGGAGTATCGCACGTGGGTGTACATTGATGATTATCGTATACATAATTAATTCAGTAGCATCAATTCTACCCTGGTAGAAAATTCTACATTTTCCACCATTTTTGTAACGCTTTTAGCTTCCTCCTAGAGGAAGCTTTGTGATAGGCGTTACAACCAAGTTTTGATTTAGAAGTCTTAGAACAATGTCGGTTACATATTTGGAATTTTCATTGAATTCTTCGTATCAGCAGGCAAGAACTGAGCCAAGGAGGCCGATGTTTTTTTCCTTCTTCACCCCTTTCGGACACTCACTGGTATCCGCCGTTAGGCACTGCTACGGTGAAGTCGGGGTTAGTTGAGCATTTCTCCTACTTCGATATTATTCATTCCCATATATCCCCCATCCGTCGCATAGTGATATTTGACGATTAGGGCTTCAGGGACTCCAGTTTTTCTACTTGGCGAACCTCCGATCCTGCCCGATTTTTTTTTGGAAAAAATTTTTTTTTCGATTTTTTCATGTATAAATGAAAGAATTGTTATACTTTCTGTTCGGTATTATATAAGCAGAACAGCTAAGCTTTAATTTAAGAGAAATAACGTAGAGAATCACAGAATATAAAGAAAGTTAGAACTCAAAACGAAAAGTTGTATTTTTACTCCTTCATTGAGCAAAAAATGGCGGTCTGGAACCAGTGTAACTTTTGAATGGAGACATGTGAAATTGGGCAAGGGAATCTTTTACATGGGAATCTTTTACAAAATTCTCGAAATCTCCAAGTTTTTTTGGAGTATAGAAAAATGAAAACGAAATTTAAACTTCAAAAATGAAATACGAATTTTTCCTTTAATAATCAAACTCTTTCATTAATATCATTTTTTTATTAGGGAGCTCTTTGCCAATAAATTGGGAAGCGGTTTTTTATAATAATGGTCATTGAATGTCAAAAATAACGTTAAAATGTAACATTTTCTACTAGTGCACAAACACTAAAGACAATTAGTGCTTGCTCTACTTACACGTTATACTTATACAATTATTTTGACTTTGCCAATTGCAGATTTATAGATGAAGGTACTCGCCACCTAGCGGTAAATGCTGGCTCTCAATATGAAATGCCATGCAAGAATTCAAATTATAGAATAGTATTAGATCTTCCTTCTTAATTTTATAAATAAAACATGAATAATAAAGAGCATTTGACACACTAATATGTACATCAAAATAACCCGAATTCATGTTTGCAAACTGATAAAGTGCTCTAAGCACGCAATATTTTTACTTACAAATAAGTCGTGACTGCGGAAATTTCAATTAATTTATTTTTGCTTATCGTTCAATAACAATTTTTCATCATTTTAACTATTCAATTTTTAATGTAAGAAACTTTTTATTCTGCTCACACTGGTTAATTATGGGTAAAAGAAATTATTACGATTTATGGCGAATCAAATGTTTACGAATTAATAGCGTTTCGAAAAAATATTTCTGTTCAAAATAACGATTGTTATGTGGGGACTCTATTTCGTAGTTGTATCTGTAATGTTACTGTTGTGCTGTATACACAGCACGACTAGAGTTCTTCACAGGTATATCGTTAAATAATTTTTGGTTTTCTTATATTTTACCGACACCTGAATATTGACAAAATGATATAGCATATATGTATGGAGAGAAATATCAAATCACACAATGTTGCTTGCCAAAATTAAATGAGCTTTGTTAAAATACAGATGGTATCGATAAGTATGTTCATGAGTATTTTGTGCTTTTATAAAATTATTTCGAGTTTACCACTTGCAGATTTATAGATAAAGCTGTTCGCCATCTAGTGGCGAAGGCTGGTTTTAATTATGATTGAATTTCAATAAATTTTTTCTACAATTAACGCAAAAAATTAAATCAGTATTAGTACATCAATTTTCCATAAAAATACTTTTCGAGTGTAGAATTAAATTGTTTTCGTTTATTTTTGCATAAAAAATAATGTTCGCGAAATTCTGAAGTAATGAAATTCTTGTTCATATTTTGTGCAACTTTTCTAAAAAAATAAGTCAGTACCTATACAGTTATAGAAAAACGATATTTTCATATATATTGTATTTTACCTTAGATAAAATTTAGTATCACTTACTATAATTTTAATGTCTGGTTTTATACTAAATGAAGTACCAAATTTGAGGTATTTTTCTCAATCGTGCAAGTCCAATAAAATTAAGCATTTTTATTCGAAGCTCTTCTCTCTGCACGCGCAACAATTGATCTTAGATTCCACGAGATGATACGCTCCAAGCCTAATTTCACACGATCTTATCATAATACTAAAAAATACAATAACCCAAGTGAAGCAATGCAGATAAATCGAATAGATGATTGTATTTATGTAGGCTTATCTCTCGATTATAATACGACGACATCGTTTCTCTCTTTAATTCACCTCTCCGCGTGCAGCCGTGTGTAGTCGTAATCGATAAAGGCACGATTACCACATCCCATAATAAACTCGATCCGACAAAAAAATAAAATAAAATGGAGCAGTGCGGCACAAAAAAAAAGTACACTAATTAATTCGAAGAAACCGTGTCAAGATTAAAGCTCAGCTTGAATCATCGTCGCGCCTATATCTAGCTCGCACGAAAAACTGCATTCGCTGCGCACTGCGCTCCGCGTGCAAAATATACAAGACACGCAGCCGGTAAAGCAGCGAACCATCGCGATCGTCGCCAGCACCGCGCGCGTCCACCAACATCATCCGCGGCCGGCACAACCGTGAACAGCCCCCAGCGCGCAGAAAAAGCAACGGCAGCTGCTCTGCTCCCAACACGACTGTGCGCTTACCAATGGTAGCTATACATGATATTTCGCTCTCGTGCTAAAATCACTATATACCTATGAGAAATATTTCGCCTCGTGCTCGTTTGGCGAAGCTTCGCGCGAGCGTCGCGCGGAACGGCAGAGGCGCCTCCACCGCCACCACCACAAACTCTCTCTCTCTCTATCTCTCTTTCGCTTCTCTGGGCTGCTGCGCTGCTCGGCGTTGATATTATATACCTATGTAGTATCTGTATCGCGCTCGCGCGAGTATAAGCACGGGCCCCGTGTGTTATATACATCTATATAGCACAGTAAGTTGACGAGAGCGAAAAACGCGTTGTGACGGCCAATACTATATCTATATCTGCTGTACGTATGCGCGAGAGAGAGCGACAGAGAGAGACTCATTGTTGTTGTGTTCATCTCGGTCTCTCGGAAGAAAATTTTTGCGCTGCAAAAACAACGCGTCCCCCGATCTCGCGCGTGTATTCGGTGTCTTCGAGATCCGAGCGAAAATCTAACCAGTGAATAATCGCAGTGTGCGCGAGTGTCCGTGAGTGCAGTGTTGATAAGAGCCGAAGAGCTCCCCGCGAGGAGAGAGTGAGAGAGAGAGCAAGCACACGAGCTTTTGCTCTACTCGTCTGCTGCCAGTGCTTTTTTGCTGTGAATCGTGCATAATATCCGTGGCATCCGATAGTGAAAAAAGCAGCAGCTTCGACGTCTCGCGTGCGAGTGCGTGCGTGTGAGTGAACGTGAAGTGTTGAGTAAAGCTCTCTCGTGCGCCGAGAGACGAGGGATTAGTGCAGTGTTGCTGCTCATACATACAGATATATAATAATACAGTGCGCAGCAGCAGTAGCCGCGGTTGTCAACCTCTTTCTCAGGCAGCAGCAGCAGCAGCAGCAGGCCGCTGGAATATAGCCAAGCGGCGCGAGCCGCATAATAACATACAAAGCGCTACACATCCCTGGCGTGGTTGATAAACGCCGTGCATCAACATCTCGCGACGATCGTCCGTCTTGGTACAGCATCGAGAGAGAGAGCGTCGTGGTGCGCATGTAGCTTTGTGGAAAACGACTCCGAAAAAGCCGACTCCAACTTGCGGATTGATAAATAAATAAATAAAAGCAGGTCTACTCGCGCACGCACGCTGGCTTTGATAAAGCAACAGCGAGCCGCTATCGACAAAGGTGTGTCTCTCTCTCTTTCTCTATGTAGTACGTATACGTTTGTTATATTCACGTCGTCGCTCGCTCGCCTCGCTCGACGACGTCGTTCTCTCTCTCTCTCTCTCGGCAGTGTCTCATTCATTGACGTTACATACATGTATGTATATGTAGGAGAAGAGAGAAACTCAGACGCTACTGTGTATGTCGTTGAATACACGCGTGCTGCTGCTATCATAAATGTGTGCACAAAGTTTGCACACGACGACGTCGCTCTCGCTTATAGATGTAATGCTGTGTGCAGCATCGCGTATAATACATTTTTGCTCTCGCATAGCGTACCAATACAAGCTCGCGCGTATAGACACACAAGCTCGTGTGCAGCTGGAGCGACGTCGTGTGTATACGTACTTCGGAGTCGTGCGCGTGTATGCATATATGTGCGTTGCATGTGCGCACTGTATACGAGCACGCGAAACTCGCTCTCGCGATGATGAAAATCATGATATCATCGTATACGCGTGTGCCTCACGCAGCAGCAGCCTCGCGAAATTGGGTTTTTAATAGGAAAAATAATCGAATCAAGTTGCGAGTCGCTCTCGATTAATCGAACGACGATGATACTCGATATGTTCGTCGCCTACAGCCCTAAAAAATTATGCTAGCTGACGAGCGGCGCATCCCCTCGCGATGATCGTGCACGTAGTCCGCTCCAATGTATACGTGTATAAGCTTCGCGCACGCCTATATATACATCGCACACTCATACGACACATTCGCGCGCAGATATATAGCAGCTCCGGCAGCAGCAGCACGTTGCTCCGAAAAAGTATATCGTCGAGCTTCGGCTCGCTCTGCGCGGCGTCTGTGTCTTGTATATCCGTATACATACACTGACACACGTCTCGGTATGTGTATGTGCACGCGAAGGAAGCAGCCGGCGAATTTGTGTCTTTGTCCTCGGCACGCTCGTACGTCGTCGTCGTCTTCGTGAGGCCTATAGAGCAGACACCCAACACGCGAATAATATATGTAGTAGCAGTATACAGATTCAATTTTTCGTTTTCTTTTCATTATATGTACTCGAAAAAGGATGTTGAGATCTGCCAAAAAAATAAAAAAATAAAATTGTTTCCCGGTTTCTTATGAATAACGTCTAATACGTAGGATATATAGTATATATCGAGACTAGAGGAACGTGCAGATAGTTAGTGAGAAGGAAGACGCTTGGTAACGGTGCATTTACTTTCCTTCGTCTCTTACGAGGGTGTCTTGCAGATGTACAATTATGCCAACTACACTCTCTCTCTTGCTCTCTTTACTTTTTTTTCTCTCTCTCTCTCTACTGGTCGTAATCTCGATATCAACGTGTGCACTCGGCAAAAGGGGAGCAACAGAACAGAGCAGCAGAGCTGCTCACAGAGAGAAAATATCGCGTGCAATAGGTCTCTCGCTCTTTAATACTGGCTCTCGTCGTCGTCGTCGTCGTCGATATATCTGTGTGTTGTACTATATAAGTCGCGAGCGTAGGTGGCTATATTCGCACGCTCCGTCGACTGTCGACTGTCGTCGTCGGCCAGTGACACACACTGACACACAGGTGAACGTACATATGAGCAAAAAGAAAAAAAAACAGGCGAGAGATAAAAAATAATAAGAAATAAAAGGAATCTCTCGGAGCGGAAACGGAATTGATAAATCTATGCCGTATGCTTATTTCCTCTGGCCGATATAATTATCGTTCGGCCGATATTATGATCTTAGTTATACCAGGCAATAACGTCGTGTTTGCGAGGAACAGAGAGAGAGAGAAAGTACCGATTTTTCAAGCATTGCTCAAACACAATTTGCATCGCGAAGGCTAGCTAGTTCAGTTCGATATATACCTGAAACAGGAAGGAGCACGTGTGCGTAAACGCTATGTATGCCTGAGTATAATATAAATCTCTCACGTTTATAATGTGCGTGTGTGTGTGTGCCCCGGTGTGCGTCGATCGTACACCTTGCCCCCCACATTAAAAGACCGAATACACTATACAAATCTCGCGCTCTCCTCTCTCTCGGCTCGTGCAGTATAGTGGCAGCTGCACATCTGGCGCGTCGGACGAGCGCAAAAAAAAGAAAATAAAATAAAAAGACCAACACACGCATAACGCAACACTGGCTTTGCCAGCAGCCACAGCTACAGCAGCAGCTTGCCTGCTGCTACTTGGCTGCGGCGCGATGAGTTGAGAGGGCCAATATCTCTCTCGCTTTGCGCGCTCGTTTGTATCAAGGAAGCCAAAGAGAGCTCTCGTTAATGCATTTCGTTTGCGCAGAGAGAGAGTTTTGTTTTTTCTACGGCTTTTTTTGCGAATTGAACACGAAGCAACAGCAGCAGCAGCAGCGGCAGTAGAATCGAAAAATCGCAGTTTTACCTACGAAGGACGAGAGAAATGAATTAAATTTTCTTCGCTCGCGTAAACTTTACGAAATAATATTAAATATACACGCACAATGCGATCGATATAATAAAAACCTGACCCCCGCCCGGTTCGTAATTACATACATGTGTGAGTGCACGTAAGTCCGTACCCGAGCTTGCTTTCATACCGCGTACACGCACACATCCACACACACACACTGTCGTACTATCGTGTATTCGATATATTATTATACATATATATTGTATGGACGAGAGAATGTAGGGTCTTTCACTTCCACCCCTTATGGGTGCTGCTGCTCGCGCGCGCGGGGGCTCTCCGCTGCTGCACGTATACGTACGAAACGTCATTACGCGTCGTCGTCCCACGCATACACGCAGAGGATATTTTATTTCTCTTATGTATACAGATATATATATGTGCGGCATTGGATGTGCTTGTGCTGTGCGCGCGATGTCCGCATACCTCCTAGTACACACTCTCTCTGTGTCCACCGATACAAATATAAAGTAAAGAATTCTGCAGCCGCGTGCGTGTGTACCGCGTCGGTGTGTATACCCCCTTCTCTTCTCAGCGGCTAGCTCCGAAGCGAGCGAGCAGCGACTCCCACCCACACACATACGTTTTCGCGTGCCAACGCCATCGGTATATACTATAGATATATATGTGACAATCGGCGTCGTCGTCATGTGGGCACCGGGATCTACTACTACCACCGCCACTACTTTATATATATATTGCCCACGTGCATCGGCCACGGCACACAGCCAGTCGATTCGCGCGCGTATACAGTATAGATGTATATGATGTATATGGCAGAGACTTACTCACTCGCTCGTTGTGCGAAAGCAACTATATATGTGTGTGTCTGCTCCGTATTAATATACTTACTCACGAGAAGAGAAGCCCGGCATCGAAGCCGCGATGAGCCACGCGCGAGATGTTTTTATTTTCATATCGAGCCTGTATATATAATAGCACTTGCGAGTTGCGCGCAAAGCGAGCTCGGATGAATGAAATTCCTTTTAGGTTTTTATCTCTTGGCTCCTCTCCTTCGCTTCCTCTTTTTCTTCTTCTTCTTCTTTTCGCCATCGATCGCTGCAAATATGATTGAATCATTGCTCGATCTCTATGGTCTGTCGACTATTTTATTTACTTTTTTTCTTCGTACTCTGATCAGCGCGTACATAGGCACCTCTCTACTTGACAGATGCGTATATTGCCGCGCACGTTCACTTGATCGGGAGACAATAGCCACACGCGCCTATTTTATCATATACGCTTATTACGAACTTATTGTGCGCTGCAATCAGCGCGACGATGTGCGGCGCAAAGCGACTCTTCGTGCACACAATCGTTATATTATCGCTTCACCTTCACCGCCATAGACATCGTTAATAATGATAAAAAAAACTTACCATGCACGCATCCGCTGTCCGTGACGTCGCTGTATAATTCATGCCCTAGCTATTATCATTAAAAAACATTAACGCCTCCTGTATATATATACAACGTAAGTGCACACGTAAGAGCTTTATTAAAGAGAGAGAAGAGAGAGATTGAAAAAATATTCATGCAGCTCCTCGCACACGTGGCTCGATGAAAAACAAAAATTCAATCGCACAATGAAAATTCCTTCTTGGTCCCGCGAGAAGTCAAGACAATCGCGTGGCACGCAGGCTCGAGGTGATTATATTTTGCGCATCGAGCATAGGGCCCCTCCGACTCTGCGCGCGGAGGATCCGTAATAGGCATGTCGGGTACGATATATCTATATAACGGCTTCGTCGTGCGCGCTGAATGTTAATCGAGCCAAGTAATGCGCGATTGTTCGGGGACTTGAATGTATATATCGCGCATACTATACGAAGAACGACCGGTTGCGGACACTTATACACACATATACACACGTGCATGAGCGCAAGTGCGATGACACGCGCGCTCGCTCGCGAGAGAGCTTTAGAAAATATAAATGATATTTTTCATCCGCGACACGAGCGCGCGTGACTGCGTGTTTGGACGTATTATTATATATAAATACCTTCGTTTGACGAGTAAAGTATTTCTTTTTTCTTTTTCATTTTCTCTCAAAGGTTGTGCGTTCGTTTACGATTATGATGGATCGACGTAATAATGCGATTACGTTATTAATTAGCCTCTTGCGGCTTTTGCCTGTATAAATAAATACTAGTGTCGAAGCGACGTATAGAGGCTATTTAACACTTTTTCAAAGCCGATAAATCTCGAGCTCTCTCTCTCTCTAGTGTATGGGATTCGCAACTGTATAACAGCATCGCGAAGATCTTAAAATAGGTTTAAACTCTTTATAGGCTTATAATGAATGCTTACACGCGAGCGCGCGCGGGGGGTATTACTTACGGGCGATAATTATAAGCCGAGCGGCGATTTTTGCTGTCGCTGTTGAAAAAAAAAAAATATTTACGCGAAGATTGATGTAAAAATGGAGTGATTTTTTTTTCTGTCGCGAGAATGAATTCAATTTCGAGTGAAGGCAATAAAATCGATTTAGAAGACCGCTGCTTCCGTATGAAGTCCGTACTTTTATTCACTCATTTTTACTTTGCCACTTGCAGATTTACAGATAATGTGTACTCGCCATCTAGTGGTGAAGACTGGCTTTAATTACCATTGAAATTTTATAAATTCTTTGAGTACTGAAGGCAAATAATAGTTCGATATTAAAATATTAAAATAATTTAGTGGGATTAAATTTTAAAGGTGAATTGAATCGCTTTTTTTATTTTTGCATTAAAAATGATGTACATGACGTATGTGCAAACAAATTAATCTTCAAGTACTGTAAAATCAGTTTTCAACAAAGATGTGCAAAAGTACTTGGAATGAAATTCGGTATCGGCTTATTTGATTTTAATGTCTCTGTTTTACTTGAAATATCTGCAATAAAATTTGAGCTTTTTTTAAGCAGCTCCTTTAATGCATAATTAAGCCTACTCTTTTTTGGGCTCAATGATAAAGTTGATAATGAGGCACCCTCCATCTGACGAAGCGTGCAGATGTAAAACGACGCTTTTCGTTTATTTTTGCTCTAAAAATAATGTATCTACTTTCATTTATATGCCGTTTAGGTATAAAAACAACTCGCTATTCATACATTAATTTTTAAACTTTAATGTTTGATTTTACATAGAATCTATATTTGAACAAAATCATTGTAGTTGAAACATGGTAAAGAAATGTGCTTCAATTCATACAATTATATTTACTTTGCCACTTGCAGATTTATATAGATTAAGATACTCACCATCTAGTGGTGGATGTTGATATTGACTATGATTACATTTTCATGAATCTTTTTAGCAACTTAAATCAAAATATCTAAACGAGTATAAAATTAAATCTTTTTGGTTAATTTTTTCATTACAAATGATGTACATCATTTAATTTTTATACATCTTTGCGCTCATTATGTAAAAAGATTTTTTAAATAAACCTGCGGACGAGGTCCACGGATTTTCCTGATAGGTTATAGTACATCATGAAAAGGTACCAAAACCAAAATTTTAGATCCCCTCCCCCCTCCTACCCTCTACCCCCGCTATAAACGTCTAAAGTATTATTCATTTACGGAAACTCAGCCAGTTGAAATATAGTTATTTATGTAACAAGTGCCCAAAAGGCGTTTTTAGGCACGGTGCGCGGAAAAAGACACGAGTGCCGGCTATGCCGGCACGAGTAGGTGTTTTTTCCCCACACTGTACACAAAAAGCTGGGCACGTGTTGCATACAAAATTTTATGCAATAGTAGGCGAAAAATACTCTCACTCAAATGAGGCGTTTTATCGCACACTCGTGTCCAAAATAAGGCATTTTACCGCACACAAGTGTCCAAAAAAATGATATTTTCTTGACCAAAAGTGATCGTAATAATCGAATTTTATTGTATCGCCAACAGGTGGGGTACTCATAAATCATTAGTGGCTAACACGATTTCCTCACATAAATACCGGCTCCTTGGCTGATAAACATCGTACAGAATGGCCCCTTTAAACCGAAGTTTTTCTCCCATACATCCCCTACGTTTTCGAAAGTATTTTGATAAACTTTTCACGTTATGGAGAGCCCACCGTTGCTTGCACAGCGTGCGATAAAGTCGCCTGGCTCCATGCTCGTCAGCAACATTTCTGCGTTGCCGTAGGACATATTTTTAAACTTGTCCTGCATCGATACTGTCTTGACTGACAGTATTTCCGTTGCCACTTTCACTCCGTTTTTTTGAGTGCACTCCACACTGCACCTCTCCGGGTCGATTCTCACTCCTATACACTGGATCCTTTCTCCCCTCTTCAGCTTTTTTTCAAAATCGGTCTTTTTTATTTATTTTATTTCATTTATTTTAAGAAACGCTCTTACTTATATAAGTATATTCAATTTGCCACTTGCAAGTTTACGTGTAATTACCTCAGCCACCTTGTGGTGAAAGTTGACATTAACCCTTTAACGCCTGAAATGACAATTTTTGGACAACATATATAGCGATGAATTACACCGACTAAAAATTGTTTAAAAAACTTTTCAGACATCATTTCTCTCGTAAAATTTAATGTACTTTTTGAATCTGGGGGCAGAATATAACTTTTTATTTAATAATTTTTTTTAGATATTTAACAATTTTGTAAAAAAAAAACATGAAATTTCGAGAAAAAAATCTCATTTAACTCAAATTTCAACACGGAACGTCTATTTTCTATTTATATTTATTTTGAAGCCCTAAAGTAATTGAAAAATTTGAAAAAATTCATGAAAGTTCTTTTTAACAATCCAAACACTCTTGAATTTTTCAGATTTTTTGAGTGCTTCAGGCCTTCAGAAAAAATCATTGAAAATTTGAATTATTTTATTTTCGGTGAAATGGTTCGATTTACCAGACTGGAGTATTTTTTTCTTAATTCTGACACCATTCTTTGAATTTTTTCAGAATTTTTCATTCATGCCGATGAAGCCTAGCGCTGAAAAACCGCTGTTTCACGAAAATAATTTTTTTAGGGTTTTTTTCTTCTGTCAGAATACATGATGTCGAATTTTTTCAGATTTTGTAATTGAAGGCGATAGCGTATAGCGCCGAAAAACGTTATTTTTAACAAAAAAGGTTCCTGGAACCCGATGGTTCCGATAAAAAAACGAAAATATTTTGGTTGGATTTCTTATCAAATTTTAATAAACTATGACCGTATCAAGTTTTAGATTGAAGCTTCTTAGCTCATTTTAGAGCATAGCAAAGATTAAAGCGAAATTCTGAAGACATTTGAAAAATAATTATGTATGATGAACGTCTAGGTCACGAATAGGGACCCTTTCATGATGTACTGAAACATACCAAAATTTCAGGAAAATCCGTGGACCTCGTCCGCAGGTTTATTTGAAAAATTCTGAATCTGACCCGTATATTAACTTTCCACAGCGATGTGAAAGTACCTCAGATAAGATTTTACATTAGTTACTCTAATTTTGATTTCCAATTTTAAATATACAATCGATCATTTTATTCCCTTCAATGTAACTCATTCTAATCTCTCTTCTGTTTCGCAGGTATAATCTCGAGAAAAGTAACCAAACAACAGAACGACATGTGGCGGGTCTCTCCCGTGAAAAGCGGGAGCTCGCTCCGACCCGCAATTCTACTCTTCCTTTCGATCGTCATTCAACTAGGTAAGTTTTACTCATCCGTTCTCTCTTCTTCTCATTCTCCGCGCAGCTAAACGCTATTACGTATAGTGGCAAGAAAGAAAATCTCGGCGTGTCGACGTTACGCGCGAGCTTTTCAAACTACTTTACGCTCGAGCGCGCGCAAGCCCGAGAAAAAAAAATAAAAAGATTGTGCATGCTCGAGGAAACAAAGTTGTTGTACGTTAATTTACTCGTGCGTTTAGAGTGTGCAGGCTGTAATAATTCGAGCTTTTACTTTATCGTTTCAATTTACACGTCACTTATGAATAATTTAAACTAAATGAAAAACTTTTTATCTGCAGCCCACGCCGAGGATGAGTCCATGGGGCCGATCTTCATCAAGGAACCGCCGAATCGCGTCGATTTCTCCAACGGCACCGGCGCAGTGATCGAGTGTCAAGCTCGAGGCAATCCTCAACCCGACATCATCTGGATCCGAGCCGACGGCACGGCCGTCGGCGATGTTCCCGGCTTGCGACAGGTAATGCACTTTTTACTCTCTATTATGCACGTGTACAATAAATCCATCAATCGTATCGATAACTGGAAATCTTTCTCTCTAATTCCGCAGGTACTACCCAACGGAAACCTCGTGTTTCCGCCGTTCCGCGCCGAGGACTATCGCCAGGAGGTCCACGCCCAGGTGTACATCTGCCTGGCGCGCAACACCGTCGGCTCGATTCACAGCCGCGACGTCAACGTCCGAGCCGGTAAGGGATCAGATTATCTATCTACATCGTTACGGATCGATCCACGAAATTATTAACGAAAATATCAATGAATAATATAACGACATAATAATGATGTGCAATGATAATCTGAATCGTGCATTTATTAATTGATCGACCGGACGTGTTTCGTCGTTCATGCTTTATTGGAGATTGTATAATTAATGATTTGTTATAGACGACAGATCAAAAAGCTGGAGAAAATCCGTTGCATTGTATTCAAATATTCAATATTGTCAAGAATAGTTTTTTATAGACTGCGTTAATTTCAAAACAATATTCGTGCCTTATGATTCAGATTATTCATTGATCGAAATCACTTATGTCAAACGTTTCAGCAGCCTTTACAGGTCGATATAAAAAAAAAAAACTAAGAGAAACATCGTGTAGGTATTATAAATATTCTAAGCGAAAAATTGAGCTGCAGATAATAATTTCGCACCCGGACGCATCTAAACGTGGTGTCGACAAATTAGCCTCTATATTCGCGTGCGCTACGCTCAATTTCTCATCTCTTTTTATGTACGTCGTCGCACCGCACACATTCTCACATGTCAAATTGTCTCTCTTTCGTCGTGCAGTGGTCGCTCAGTACTACGACGTGGACGTGAATAAAGAATACGCGATTCGCGGAAACAGCGCCGTATTGAAATGCGTCGTGCCGAGCTTCGTGGCCGATTTCGTCTCGGTCCTGTCCTGGCATACCGATCAAGGCGAGGAGTTCGTCAGGCGCATCGGCGGCAACACGGACGGAGTCGACGACAATTACGGTAGCTAGAGATCGATCGATTAGCAGCCATGTGTTTTCATGCTCTCCGCAGAAACTGGGACAGATTCTCGCGTGCAGCTCGTCAAACGCGTTGTAGTTTTTTTTTTATTTTAATAAGTAGCTCGTTATACGTATACATACATCGACGCACGCAAAGGTCTCTATCTCTCTATAAATGATTTGTTCAACAACAAACGACGACGATCGCAAAAGTTATCCTCGCGCCTACGTGCGTCTACATGAAAAGGCTCATTATTGAAAATCGCTACCGTCACGACGACGCATCGCAACGTAAAACTATGTATGCTACGATCGTCGAGAGCTGTCACAGATGCATATGGAAGTCAAGTGGCTCTCGTTGTCAAAGCTGCTCTGCTTGCCTCCGATGCGCCGAGGCGTATAGCGTAGCATATATAGCTCGAGCGCGCGATTATATAGATCGACGGCTCTTGGTGTGTAGTGGAGGCAAGGTCGTGTCGTGTGTCGCCGCCGCTTCCACGCTGCGAATTACGAGGCATAAAATTAAGCGCGCGGCCGATTATATATTATTACGCACACGCGTGGATCGGGCTAGAGGAACGCGCGCATCTTCGTATAAAATTTGTCACAGAAATATTTGTATCGATATTTTACATCGTAATTTCCTTGTGTTGCACAGTCGTGCATCAGTTCTACCAATCGGAGGTTAATAACGAGTACGTGATACGCGGCAACGCGGCCATACTCAAGTGCAGCATACCGAGCTTCGTCGCCGAGTTCGTGCAGATCGTCGGCTGGCAGGACGATCAGGGAAATACCTTCAACATGGGCGCAGAATCCGGTGAAATTTTTTTTCCCCCGCGCTCTCGCACTTCCTCCTAAATTGCTCTTGAGAGAGAAAAAAAAAGAAACGCAGTTTCTCGACGTCTTATGAATTTCAGCGCATCTCCTGTACACACGATGACTCGATTGTAAAGAGTATATAACTCACGCAGCAGCGATACATATGTATCAATTACAAAATATGTACATTGTACTTAGTCACGGGCAATGACGCTCTATACATTTTTTCTTTTCTTTTTCAAAAGTCGTAACGCAGTATTACGAGGCGGAAGTCGTATCGGAGTACGTGATCCGCGGCAACGCGGCGATACTCAAGTGCACGATACCGAGCTTCGTGGCCGAGTTCGTCTCGGTCGACTCGTGGGAAGGAAGCGACGGGTCCAGCTACAAAATGTCCCATGATTATGGTACACACAGACGTGTTCGCTCGTGTATAACATTTCAACTTCCCTCGCTCCGACTCGATGCATATAATTTAATTCTTTTTTTTTTTTTAGTTTCATTACTGTGACACAGGTCTATATCATCGCCATTACACATTCCTCTCGATCCGTCAATTCCTCTACAAAGTCACAACTCCTTCGCAGCTCCGTACCTAACTATACATAAACCTCCTCCTCCTACGCAGTCGTCTTCGTCTTCTCGTCGCGGCCAGAGCGTGTTATAATATTATGTGCACGCGTATAGCAGCACACATGAATAATAAGCTTTATAGCGTAGTGGCGGCAGCGGCTAAACGCAGTATGCAGAGAAACGATGTTGTAACGTCTGTAATATAATACATAACTAGGCCTCTCTCTCTCTCTCTTGGCTCGAGAGCGAGAGTGAGAGAAAATATAAGATTTCTAGGCATTTAACGGCGGTGTTTTATACACATTCTACAGGCATATAATAATATTGTGCATAAATAGAAAAACACAAGATGCACCTGATGAAATGTTGCAACTATTTCAATGATAATAATCGGTGATATCGATTTCCGAATACTCTCTCGGCAGTCGTCACCCAGGCCTATCATCCGGAAATAATGACCGAGTACGTGATCCGTGGCAACAGCGCCATACTGAAGTGCAGCATACCGAGCTACGTGGCCGAATTCGTGACCGTCGAGGCATGGATCAGCGAGGACGGCGAGACCTACTTGCCGAGATTGCGTACTAATGATTCGGGTACATTATATACAGAGCAGCATAGTCAAATATACATGATTAATGCTATGTAATTTTCGGCGACGGCACAGAGAGAAAGAAGCATTTAATTTATTTCTGCTATACATAATACGGCGCTGTACAGTTACGCACTGTTCGCGGCTTTGAAAGTAGTTATCCCTTCTCTAAAAAAAATTTTTTTTTTTCATTCGTTCCACATATATCAGACTCGATAATCACACGCAACTATATAATAATACGCTGTAATACAGCCGATGGGCTGGTCATTGAAAAACATTGCCTATATGCGTTAATATACGTTCATTCTCTCGCACTCATTCCACGCATTAACTTATCATTGCATGGGGCATTTCCTTCTCAAAAAAAAAAAACCGAAAAAATCCTCGTGCGAGCAGTCGTGGCGCAGTCTTACGTCACCGAGGCCGAGAACGAGTACGTGATCAGGGCCAATAGCGCCATCATGAAATGCAAAATACCGAGCTTCGTCAGCGAATTCATCCAAGTCGATCAATGGGTGGCCAGCGACGGCTCTATTTATACGCCCGGCCGAGAATACGGTATACCCTGTAACATCAACATACGCACGAGAAAAGCTCTAAAATCGCAGCTCTAGTGTTTATATGTGTATATTATCATCTCTTCCTCTCTCTCTCTCTCTCTCTCTAACTCTGTTTCACTCTCAGCTCAGCAACTACAGAAGCTTTTGCTTTCACCATCGCCACACACATATGCTCTCCATTTGTTTTAAAGCCGCTGCTGCAAGCTCCAATTTTGAAAGCCTTACCCGAGAAGAGCGGCTGCCGCTCACTGTATAGCTACTATAAAGCCTATAACGTATCGTATGGCCTACACTCAGTGTATAAACATAAAATCTATTCTCGAATACGTATCGAATGTATACATGCCGAAAGTATGCGCCGTTACAAACTCGGGGGTTCTTCGTGTAATCGGATAAATCGAACGAACGAGATAAAAATTTCCTCTCTCTCTCTCTCTCTACCCTCATGACGATGATGTGCATTATTACAGCTGTATCGCAGTATTTCGAGGTGCAGGTGTACGACGTCTTTGCGATTCGCGGTAACGCAGCGATATTCAAGTGTCAGGTACCGTCGTTCGTCGGCGATTACGTCGTCGTGGCCGAGTGGATATCATCCAACGACGAGTCGTTTACCTTCGATAATCAATCATACGGTAGTTGAACAGAAAAAAACGATGACAATTCCGTAGAGTGTTTCTCTAATTATCTCTGCCCCATTGGTTTTCTCACTCGCTCGTGTCCATTGCCAATTGAGCTTCGTTTAATTTTTTTCTTCCTTTCGTTGCAATTCGCCAAAAAAAAAAAAAAAAAAAAAAAAAAAATGGTCTGATGTTGCAGTCGTCGGGCAGCGTTACGCAGTGAACGTCATGGACGAGCACGTGTTGCGGGGCAACGCTGCGATAATCAAGTGCCACATACCGAGTTTCGTCGCCGAATTCGTCCTGGTCGACTCTTGGCTGGAAGACGATTCCACGGAAATATATCCTGGAAAAGATTACGGTATCGATAAAAAAAAAAAAAAAAAAAACAGAAAAATAAGAACAATCGACACTGGTGTAGCCTTTTTTCTTTTTTCATATGCCTCGCGAGTCGCTGCCGTTTCGTGTGTCGCAATATACTTACTCTCTCGAAATTACATTATTGCGCTATCGCTCGCTACGATAAATCATGATACGAACACACAAAAGAATGAAACCTTTGCGTCGTTAATGATGTATAATAATACGAGCCCGCGGATAATATAGCCGATGTGCCTCAATTCATAAGACGTTGAACTGCAGCTGCTCGCGCTGTCCCAGACACTTTTTTCTCCAAATTCCTTCACACCTCCTCCATTTATTCCACTCCCATGCATATACGCAGCATGCGAATATCCTCCCATAGACCTATGTTCACTGCTTCAGCATGATTTTGCTATACGAAGCTATAATTTTCATCTCGGAAACAATTGCGCATTCATAAACGATTTCTTCAATTTTGCGACGTTTTTATATTAAAAGCCAGCGAATTGTTTTCGAGATACCCTACTTCCCTTTATTTTGCTCGTAAAAGCCTATTCTTATTATTCTCCGAATCGATTTGCATCGGCATTAAAACTTTTGCCTTCCTTTTTTCGTATATATATAATGTCTCTCTCGTCTCGACTTGCATTAGTTGAGGACACTCAACAGGTGTTTTTCGGCCACGAAGATGAGATCTTGCAAGCGAGCGAGCAAGTCAGTCGTCAAATTGCTTATGCTGACGGCGTACTTGCTTCTGAATGAATCATTTGTGTATTTCATCACGATACATGATCCCGGAGAATAATAAGAATATATATTCAAAATACACACGTATATAAACAGCCTGTGTTCCTTTTGTGCTTACCTTTGCGCTTGGCTTTTATCTCTTTCTCTCTCTTCTTTCTCTCTCTCTCTCTCTCTCTCTGTCGCTTGAAAATAGCTACGCTCGCGTGGCGAAAAAACATTCACAAGACTAACTTTCTTCTTTTTTGTTTCTTTTTTTTTTATCTCCGATTCTGAAACACGTAGATGGCAAATATCTCGTGCTGCCGTCCGGCGAGCTACACATCAAAGACGTCGGGCCGGAGGACGGCTACAAGACCTACCAGTGCCGCACCAAGCACCGGCTGACCGGTGAGACCAGGTTGTCGGCCACCAAGGGTCGATTGGTCATTACTGGTATGTTATCGTCGACATGTTATTCGCAATATCAATTTTTGATATAATTATTACTTAATGCGTTTTCTATTCGGTCTCGAGCTACGTAGCTGCATTATCATTACGAAGTTAAATTTTGATGGAATGATCATTTTTGGAAATTGAAAATTGTGCAATAAACGCGACTTCGTCGTTAAATTTTGCAAATTTGAGACCGAAAAGAAAATGAATTATCATGCGCATAGATTCACTTGATTTGAAATTTGAAATTATTTCTGTAACATTGTTTCGAAAAGTAATGAGATGTGACATTCGAAAATTCACTGTATAATTTAATACTCAAATTAAACGTTAACATGAAAATTCAATTGTACTAAATAATCTTTTAATCGATATGGACGAGTAAATCTTTTTTTTTTTTTTTTAATTTTTTTAATTTCCAAATAATTTTAACGATATAAAAGTAATTTAATTCACAAGGAATACATGTGCATGGTAGCAACAAAATGAAATTGGAAACCTATAATTGTGTACATTCTTTTGATTGTAGTCATGTCACGCATTTCATTGATGTAAATGTTTAACGTAAATTTCTCATCAGTGAGAGAAGAGATTGCTTTCATCAATTCATGTTTTATTAAATCTTTATTGAAACTTTATTAAATGCGAGTTGAAGATAAAAAGTGATTGAAAAGTGATTGAAAAGTGATGAATTCCCTCTACTACATCCAATTTCATTTTCTCAATTTATTATCATAAAATATTATAATATTGCGCGTTTTGCAAAGAGACTTGGTTTGAAAAGTTATATACAGTAAATTCGTAAATTTTGAAAATAATGATTAATGTATTGTTGTGAATATTCATTAAAATTTTTCATTAGTTAATATAGCCAACGATGCTCAACAACACAGAACCAAGTTTGTTTGTAAAAAAAAACCTGAATGCTGGGACAGGGTACCCCTGCGGGCACGTAATAAAGCTGCGCCACCGGAGAGCTTTGATTAAATTATGTAATTGATTAAAATTTTCAACATTTTTGTTGAATATCCAAAGCTATAAAGTCGATCTACTCTCCCGATCTGTAATACATGTAATGGCTTTCTCATTAATTTATCGTTAGTTCCAATGCTTTAATTTCGTTCGGTTTCCTTCATCATGCTAGTTTCAATTAGTTATCATTATATTTTTGTTTATGAACGGATTAAATGCGATATCTTTCTTTAAAAAATATGATTTTATTGAGAACGTGACAAAATTATAACTGTGCAGAACCGGTGGGAAGCGTGAGGCCGAAATTTCCCAACTTGGAGAATCTGATTGGCATATCTACCGCCGCATCTAAAAGCATACGACTTCTATGTCCAGGTCAGGGATTTCCAGTCCCGTCTCATAGGTATGACGATTATTCAATCGTTCCATTAAACGTAATATTACGCTTCTGAATTATGCTAATCATAATATGACATCTTAAATCGTTAAATCTAACGTCACCCTGAGACATCGAAAGATATCGCATTAACATCCTCGTGTCTGGTCATTTATTTAAACTCGCCTTAGTTTTTTTGGATCTTGTTGTACAAATAGTCAAGATAAATAGAATTAGATAATTTTCATATATCTGTCATATACACACAGAACCGGTGGGAAGCGTGCGACCTAAATTACCGAGCTTGGACAACCTTAATAGCCTTGTAGCGCCCAGAAATGGAAGTCTACCGCTTCTTTGTCCAGCACAAGGGTTCCCAGTGCCATCATATAGGTAGGCTTTTGGCTAGAAAATTTGCCTCGATTGTAAACCAAAAAAAAAAAAAAAAACTCAAAAAACAATGGTCGATCGTACTCGTCGTTGTCATTTTCGAGGCAGTTTCTAAATCATGAGCTTTTCGTATCGAATTGAAATCGATCTTCGAATTTCCACTTTATTTTTTCATTTTTTGTCCTCGATAGAACCCGTCGCTGGCGTCAGACCGAAATTCTCGACGAGCGAAAACTCGCGCACTTACACGAACAAGTTCAACGAGCCGCTGGTGCTCTTCTGTCCGGCACAGGCGTTTCCCGTTCCAAACTTCAGGTAGCGGCATTTCACATTTCATTCTAAAATTTTGTTTTTTTTCTTGTTCCGCGCTATAATGTATAGAACCCGTCGCGGGAGTTCGACCGAAATTTTCGACGAGCGAACATTCGCGCACTTACATGAACAAGTTCAACGAGCCGCTGGTGCTCTTCTGCCCGGCACAGGCGTTTCCCGTTCCAAACTTCAGGTAGCGGCATTTCACCATTTCATTCTAAATTGCTTATTTTTTTGATGATGTATAGAACCGGTTGGAAGCGCCAGACCCAAGTTTCCGAATAACGCGGACTCTCAGACCTTTAAAACGATGCTCAAAGGTGCGATGGTTCTTTTGTGTCCTGCCCAAGGGTTTCCTGTTCCGATGTACAGGTAAAAACGCCCTGCTCTAAGAGTCAAAAAAATTTATTTCTTTTTTCTCCCTCGTCGAAATTACTTGCAAAAACTCAGAGCCAGTTGGGAGCGCACGCCCGAAATTTCCATCGATAGCCAATTCCCAAACTTTCGACACGAAGCTTAACGGCGCGATGACTCTTCTATGTCCTGCCCAAGGGTTTCCTGTTCCGATGTACAGGTAACGCACCCATTATGTTTAACCGCATTGCTGATCGATGCATTTTTTCTTGCGCAACTTTGGAAAAACAAACGAAATAATGTAGAACCAGCGGCGAGCACGAGACCACAATTGGCAGGCTCGAGCGATCTCCAACGATTCAGCTCGCCGATCTCGAGACCCGTTACTTTGCACTGTCCTGCTCAGGGATTTCCAGTGCCGCTTTATAGGTGGGCTTTTGAGTAAAACCAAAAAAAAAATGAAAAACATGATTCAAAAAACAAAATGTAGATAAATATCTTACGCGTGCATCTAAATGCCCTCGAGGGTTTCCTGTCCACAGTAATACATCGTCATAATTTTACCGACGAATTTATCTCATACATTCGCATTTGCGCGCATCTCTCATCATGTACGTTTGACATCCGTTGTTACCTAGAACCGGCCTCGAGCACTCGACCGCAATTGTCAGGCGGCACGGACTTTTTCCGCTTCAGTTCCGCGGTCAACAGAAGCGTCGCCGTACACTGTCCTGCTCAAGGATTTCCAGTCCCTCTTTTTAGGTACACAATAGCACAAATATTAAATATTTCAAAAAAAATGTAAGGATTTCGCTCGGTGTATTTTGTCCCCCGCATCAGGTTTCGATAAATTGTTCAAATTGAATAATTGAGGGTCTCATTTAAAAATTCACCCGTAGAACCAATATCGAGTACCAGACCCAAGATGACGGCTCTCGATGTTAAATCGACCAATCCTTCGGTGCGAATTGGAAAAGCCTCGACCTTACTGTGTCCCGTTCAAGGCTTTCCTGTGCCTAACTTTAGGTAATATTCAATATCAAGTTTTATTTTTTATATACATCGCATCGATTCGTGCTCTCAGTGTTATCCTGGATCAGCCATTCGTTCTATTTCTATTACAAATATTCAAGTAAAAAAATGAAATTAATCGAATAAACAGAGCCAGTGTCCAGCGTAAAACCCAAATTATCGAGTACCGACATTAAGGTCGTCATGCCAACTCTGAGCACGCACGAGGTGGCACTGATTTGTCCTGCTCAGGGATCCCCTGCTCCAGCAACACGGTTCGTTTCATGAATTATTAATATATTTCGCGCTTTTCTCATAGAACCCTCGTCCAATACGAAACCCAAGCTAGCTACCAATCGCAAAGTCGAATTCGTTGACGGGGAACAGGGTGGACCGGTGAATTTAATGTGTCCCCTGCAAGGACATCCGGCTCCTCGCGCAAGGTTTGGGCTACTATTTTACTTTCTGAAAATCTGCTTCTTTGCCTTCGTTAAAAAAATTACCCTGTCCCGGTGTTTTATCGTTTAAGAAGTTATAAATTAAAGTCTTGGCGATTACAAAAAAAAAACAGAACCAGTTGCCACAAAGGCCCCAAAATTCTCAAACGAGGCTAAGAAATCGTGGTACGACAAAAGCTCCGGACATGATATAACACTCTTCTGCCCGGCACAAGGGTTTCCCGTTCCAAGCTACAGGTAAAAAATCGTTAATTCAAAAATTTCTAAGATTTGTCCCTCGATTTTTTTCACGTAACGTCATGCAGAACCGGTATCTACGAAAATTCCAAAATTCTCGAATGACGCTGTGATGGCTTGGTACGTGAAAACGTCCGGCCACGACATAACTCTATTCTGTCCTGCGCAAGGGTTTCCCGTTCCTAGCTACAGGTATTGAAAATCATTGCAAATAGTATTAAAATTTACCTCGCGTATTATTTTCAAATGACAGAGCCAGTCTCGACCAAAGCGCCGAAATTTTCGAGCGAATCGAAATTAGCTTGGTTCGATAAACAGTCCAAGCAAGCCATTACTTTATTTTGCCCAGCTCAAGGTTTTCCTGTTCCCAACTACAGGTACGAATTCGATAATTCTATGAACATTTAAAAATATACATTTTCTCGTATCCAACAATAGAGCCAGTTTCCACTAAAGCACCGAAATTTTCCACGAATTTGAAATCGACTTGGTTCGAGTCACAATCCAAACAAGATGTTACATTAGCTTGCCCAGCTCAGGGGTTTCCTGTCCCTAATTACAGGTATATTCGATGAATTCAGTGAACCTTTAAAAATGATTATTTTCTTTTTCGATTTTCTTTTGATTAATAAACAACAACAGAGCCAGTTTCTACTAAAGCGCCGAAATTTTCGAGCAACTCAAAATTAGCTTGGTTCGAGATACAATCCAAGCAAGATGTTACTTTATTTTGCCCGGCACAAGGGTTTCCTGTCCCGAATTACAGGTAAATTTTCATAACAGCGATTGACATTCAATATTTCCTTATCCAGAGCCGGTATCGACGAAAATTCCGAAATTTTCCAACGACGCCGTGCTCGCTTGGTACGTCAAGACTTCCGGCCACGATATCACCCTGTTCTGTCCCGCTCAAGGGTTCCCAGTTCCTAGCTACAGGTACAAATAAAAAACAATATCGAAACAATCAACATTTTTTATGCATTTCACCCCAGAGCCCGTATCAACGAAAGCCCCGAAATTTTCGAGCGACGCGAAATTGGCCTGGTACGACAGGCAGTCGTCGCACGCCATAACGTTGTTTTGCCCGGCGCAAGGGTTTCCTGTACCATCGTTCAGGTGACGATAATACACTGTTTTTCGAATCATTTTACGAAAATTGGGTTTTTTCTTCTTTTTTATTGAATCGATACAGAACCGGTAGGGAGTAAAGCTCCGGCTTTGAATAGCGAGTTGAAAGGTGGCTGGCTAGTGAAACGGGCCAACACGGACATAACGCTGTTGTGTCCGGCGCAGGGTCACCCTATCCCCGTCTTTAGGTAAACAAAAAATTATTAATAACCGAATTTATCTTGTGTAAAATTAGAGCCAGTTCAGAGTCGAGCTCCCTCGTTATTCGGCGAGAAGGGCAGTTTGATGGAGCGTCGTACCGGCGATAATTTCGTTATCCTTTGCCCGGGTCAGGGTCATCCCATACCTACATTCAGGTAAAACACACGAAAAAAATTCGAACCAGGTTTAAAGGGGCAAAACGCGCATAAAACATTAAGCTTTTTCTCTTAAGTTTTTGTTTTTTTTATTGATTTTGGTATGATTTTGTATTTGCTCTGTAAAGAGCCAGTTGGTAGTAAATCGCCGTCCGTTATGGGCGACACCAAACGATGGATGCGGGCAAAAGGTGGCCAGACGTTTGAAATTCCATGCCAAGCTCAAGGCCATCCCGTTCCAGCTTTCAGGTAGAGAATATATTTTCACAAAAATCATCCTCGATGATATTTCTCCGATGTATATTCTCGAAGCTAATTGCTGTATCCGGTGACGCGACAAAATCATTCGATGAAAAAATTTCTAGAACCCATGGGAGTAAAAGCGCCGAATTTTTCCACCGACGATCGAAGTAGTTCCTTCATACGCGCGATCAACGAGTCGTTGACGTTGCAATGTCCTGCCCAAGGTTTTCCAGTGCCGATGTTTAGGTAAACGTTATAAAAACAATACATGAGAAAGCCATCGTTGAATTATCGATCGTGAAAATTTGATTCTTGCTCGTGGCCCTATTTCATCATCCAGTTTTTCGTCGCTTCTCTCATCATTTCTTTGCGAAAATTGTTTTCAAAATTTTTTCACGTACATGTATATAGAACCTGTAAACGGTGCTAAGCCCAGAGTAGCGTCGACGCAGAAATACGACGTTCTCACGAGCAGCGTGTCCACTCGAATAGTAATGCTCTGCCAAGCACAAGGACATCCAGTTCCAAATTTCAGGTAGCTCGCAATAATGATTTCGGAATTAACAATGCTCGCGAGTAAATTTTCTCGTTCGTAAGATATGAATGTGTTAACAATATATACAGAGCCAGTAAACGGCGCTGCGCCGAAGATTCCGCCAACGGCTAAAATAGTCGTTTTGATGGCTCCTGCAAGAACTACGATATCACTGCTGTGTCAAGCGCAGGCGAATCCCATACCGATTTTCAGGTATGGAACATATATCGCGACGTACTCGATTCTCAGATCGACTTTATTTTGCAACTAATTTGGTACTCGAATTTTCTCGAGCTGATTCTCCGCGCTTATCGTGCACCGAGGGGTATCGTAATATCCCAGCATATCCTGATAAAAATAGGAACATTAGGGGCTGCATGGTCAAGAACCGGTGTTGACAAGAGGGGAAAATCAGTTGTTGGGAGCCATATGAACCCGTAAAAATTTTCGGATGATACTTACTTACTTTATATATAGCAACGACCTTTTGATTTGCTTGCGAGAACTATCTCCACTCAAAGCGACACCATGTGGCAAGAAATCATAAAAACGTTTGAATCTCAAATTTTTATTCATCTCATGAAATAACATCGCACACGAACACATTTCTTTCACATACTTTTTTGAAATATTTTTTGGTTACATCGTAACATCTATTTATACCCTAACGAAAATTATCTTTTGCTATAAAATGTTACATTGAACTTTTTTTAAATTGAAGCTCCGTCTCAATCGTTCTATTTTTGCTAAAAATAAGGAATTTTCAACTTTACACTTTAGTGCCAAAAAGACAAAAATATCGAGATTTGGGATTTCGAACTACTCGATCGGAAATAAAATTATTTATAATTCGAAAAAAATTATAATTCTGTAAAGGTTCAAAATAGTACAAGATACTTATTGAGTAAACATTAGGCTCAGAATCGAAAGTCCACTTGAATTAATCATTAATCATGAAATAATCATGAAATAAAAGTTTAATTATTATGGGACGTGTAGACTGATCTAAAAGCTGCTGCATATGAAAATGAGGTTTTAATAATCTGAAAATTAACAGAACGACATTGGTTTGTTATCATACTGTTCTAAAAATATTGGTTTTGCAGAATTTTCTAATATAAGAACATACTTACAATACTGCAAGTTTCAAAATTTAACTCAACTTGAGGTCCAGCCGTCAGTGCAAAAGATTTTTCAACTCTAATTATAACGAACAAAAACATCTTCCTTATTTTTGGTGGATAATTTTGATAATTCAGTTCGCAGCTTTTATAAAAGACTTATTTTAATGACGATAAATTAAATGAATAACATTGTGCACATATTATACCTCGTAAGAAACAAATCATCACTTGCATTCTTCAACATTTGACTCGGAGCACAAGCGAAGATAATAACCAAAGTTGTGATCAGAGATAAATCTATCATCCTTGGTGCTCTAGTAAAGTCTGTATCCATCAAAACCACTACCTTTTTTTAAAAATGAAACATTATTATGGAACGAGAAAACTTTTAGAACTTGAATGTCTTGAGTCCGATCAATGTTTAGTAGCTTACAGAGGCGGTAGTTAAGATAATACCACTACTGGTTGTAAATAATACTGTAAACATTACGGGACTCAATAATTCTCGAGCGAATTCATAGAAACTAAAGTATTATGATTTATAAGTTAATTATTAAAACGAATATCAGAAGTAATTACTCTACGAGACTTTGATGACATCGAATAAAATTTTTGAGCTGCAGATAAATCCATTTATCTGCATGTTCATCACTCATAGAAATTTTCTCACTGAACTCTGCATCCATTTTTTTCAATAAATGCCTGAAAGGAAATGTGTTGCGTTCATTGGTTTTTGAACAAATTGTACTAATTTGATCAAATTTTTTATTACGAGGTACACACTTCAAACCATGAATTCCTCCAATAATACCAACTAAAAATGAAAAGTACAAAAAATTCAAAGCAGCTACTAGACAACTGAAATCTACTATACCGATTAACTGTGATGCAAATATTATATAAAAATATTGATCTTCGTTAACCAAGAATTCTCTGTGAAGCGGTAAAGTTTTCTCAAATGTTTTATTTCCTGAACTTGTTAAAGTAAAAAACAAAGGTAAAGCTACCGGAGCCGAGGCATAAATAGTACAAGCGACAAAGATTAACACTTTGAAAAGAAAAAGCATAATTATAAAACGTATTTTATCAATGTGCAAGTATCCAGTTGAAAAATCAAACTAATATTCACCTCCTTGAATATTGGCTATATAGTATCCCTTTAAGGCAGTCTCTAAAATGATATTTTGAATATCTTCGTTGTAGCTGTACCACATTCGAGCCATCATCCGATAGATCTGAAATATCTTGATATAATTAGTGAATTAATTACAAGTATTTTAACTAATTTAATTACTTGTCAAACGACCTTTTTCTTATATGCTCCGAAGTACATGTAAGCGAATGTCATATTTAAAATAAGTACAAGTTCATATAAAGATTCAATCATAGAGTTGCTAAAAAAGGGCGTTATTCTCTTCTCTTTTAGAATCCACACAACCTTAATTTGTCGTTATCATTATTATAAACGCAATTAAATATATCTGTTAAATACTTGCCGTGGTTATTAACGAAAGAAACAACAAAAAACAGCGGCAAATAGTTCCAAATATCTGACATTTACCTTGGAAAGGTATTAAACAAGTCATTTTTAAGATTATTCGAACCGAAGGGAACCTTTCGAACCAATATTTCATGAAACGAATACACATCGCATCGGGATGCTCATCTACCCTATTATAAGAAAATGTTAAAATTTGAAATTGAGGAAAAGTTCGAGAAATTTTTAGTATTGATGACGAGTTTACCTGGATATACTTTGATGGGCGGGACACATGATAAAGTTTACTTTACTAGTCTTCTAAATAAGCTACGTGTTAGACTTCAAATACATTGATAAATAAGTGTCACGACTGTTGTATATTTTATAACAATATTCAAGCATATTTATAAAGAAAGTAATATGAAACTCATTAGATAGTATTAATTGTAAATGACAACGTAAAGTGATGAAAAATAGCTCGAGTATTCAGGACTGTTTCAAATAATGACCTGTTTAAAAAATATTAAGCGCCAGAAAATTTTAAAAAATACATATTTTTTACAGGTATATAGTTGACAAAAAAGATTCACGATCGTGGCTATATCTCACGAGGATATAGGTTCACAAGCTATAAACGTCTACAGAAACTTTATTTTGTAAAAATTATTTTAAATCATACTTGCATAAAAATTTCATGAACTTTATTCCTTACCTTTTTGATATTTTTGTATGCCGAATCTTCAAGGTTATACAATTTTGCATTTGTTAGCACCTTGTATTGATCCCACTGAGGGGTACTCATAGACAAATATATAAGCTTTATGAAAAAGGCATTTACATTGCTATAAACTTTTGTCGGAATTAAAGTTTAACAATTGTATTATAAATTTTTTGTGTAGCTTATTTCAATTTCTTATAATTGGCGAGTCAAATTAAATTATTGAAATGATAGTCCGTGACACGCACGTGGAAACGACAAACGTGTCGAGCGAGCGCTTAAAAATAAGAAAGAAGTCTACAAGGATGCTCATTTGACTGGAACTTAAAATGAATAATTTCAATCGTTGAAAAAAACTTGCTTTTTAAATATTCAAGCTAGGGGTAGGGTAGCATTATAATTCAAGATTGATGTATTCAAAGATCAGTTCAAGGAAGTTGCGTTATAAAAAATCAACTGACCAATTATTGTCTAATAACTAGATTTTTTGAAAAAAAATCTATTTAATAAACATTTGAACATTTAGACAGGTGATCAAGTGTTTATACTCCTGTAATCTCGATATATTTGCTCTTTTGTTGAGCCATATCTTTCGTATAATCTCTTATTGTTTCCCCTCTTTTTCTTTTTCCTGCACCCAAATTAAATGGATTTGGTTATTTTTTTTCTTCCTTATATGCATGAATACTTAAGGATCCGTAATGATATGAAAAGTGTGTTAATCATAAATCTGCTAATCTGATGTCAATTATTTACAATACACAAAGAAAACATTGCGTTGCACTAAATAAATATTTCTCATACATATTTTACACACGTGACAATGGAATTACCCCAGTTCTTGACCACGCAGCTCCATCTGTATCTATTTCTACGCGAGAATTAAAATCTCTTCCGTAACACGAGCAAATCATAATGACCAATTTTTCGTTGCATCGCGACACTTGCATCGCGCATAATACAGAGCCAGTTGGAGGCAGTCCTCCGCGTTTACCTCCACGTTCGAAACTCGGCGAGGTGACCAAAGCCGCGGCCTCGATGATAACGCTGCTGTGCGAGGCTCAGTCGAGTCCACCCCCCATGTACAGGTAAGCGTGTCGTGTACGTCGTGTCCGCTGCTGGTGGGTGTAGGCGCGCGTTATGAGTCATAGCGTATCATTCACCGCATATAATCATAATAAGCTCGCCGTACTCGTTCCCAGCATTTGTTTCGCATTTTTCTTCAATTGTTTTAAAATCGACGTAAAAAATTCACATTGATCAATCGATGCGTGATTTATGGGATGTATAGAACCAGTAGGAGGCAGTCCTCCACGTCTGCCTCCGTACAAAATGGGCGAGATAAAGAAAGCCCAGGGAAAAATGATCGTCATGTTGTGCGAGGCTCAAGCCAGTCCCCCACCTCTCTACAGGTAATTAAAATCGCTACATAGTCGATGAAGCGACACCTTATCCCAGCATTGTGTGTACGGAAAGTAACGCGATATTTTTTGTTTTTCATTCGAATCAAAAAATGTTTCCAAATCTATATGTATCTGTAGAGCCACGAACTGGAATGCCTCCGAACGCGAAAGACAAAGACGTGAACGGCATGAAAAAGTCCATAGCCGCCAAACGCATTGTCGGTCTGCTCTGCCCCGTACAGGGTTTCCCATCGCCTGCGTTCAGGTATATAACATACAAAAATGACAATAATACATGTATAATAATGACCGTATTATACTATCGTATTGTCGAGCGCGCGCAATAATATAATGACAAAAGTGCAGCAGGAGCAGCGATCGTTATCGGCGCTCGTCGTGCTGCAACTCGAATAGTGTCATCGTGATTTTTTTTACGACTTTGTTTTACGCATTACGAGTCGCAAAAACAAAAAAAACAAACAAACAAACAGACGATGTCGAAATATTGCATATAATTATTATCAGAGCCGACGAGCAACGTAGCGCCTCGCCTGGCCGGCGAGCGCTACGAGGGCGGCCGCTTGGTCAGCGTCGCGACCGGCCGCGTGATAGCCCTGCTCTGCGCCGTCCAAGGATCACCCGCTCCCATACAGAGGTACAACATACATAATCAATGATAATTCTCACGTGTTTATCTTTGAAAGGTATCTTCTTCTTCTTCATCGTCGCTCATTATTTTCGCTACGAAGCTCTACGAGGCTGCGTAACGTACAATAATCTCGTCTCTCGTAGCGCCGCGACTTTCATCTGGTCGTTCGTATATACAACGCTAATTGACGGCCGCGTCAATCGGGCAATTACCCGCGAGCTTAACATGATTCATTCATAATATTACGAGTGAATGATTGCCGAGTTATATAGAGTTTCATCGGTCATTGATTAAAGCGACCTAAAAGCTATATATACGTTATGTATACGGAATCTCTCCGGCATAGTTTTTCCTCTTATCGACTCTGCGATTTATTCACTCGCACTGTTCGTCCGTGAAAGTGAACTTTTATTCCATTATAAGTGAATAAGTAGCTCGTAATATTACCTTTAAACTTGGGTCTTCGAGTGCCCGATATCGCATTTCGCTCGTACTATGACATTACAGAGGCGATATGTCTACTCGAATGCAGGCGCGTATGTAATAGCGTCAAAAACATTACGCAACTCGAATTACGCGCCGTAAACGTATGTAACGTGTATATACATTACACGGCCGATAACACCGCTTACGCGCCAAAGGTTGACTGCTTATTATCTTATCAACCTGCATTCTTGACTTTCTCGCACTCTTTCTCTGTCGCTCCTTTTGCCAAGTGCACACTCGTTGTGTATGACTAATCGTTGTATTACATACACACGTGCGACACACACACATGCTTGGGATCTCTCATGCGCTATTTCTGTGAGAAAATCGACACCCTTTTTTTCGTTTGTACGAGTTTAAGTCGCTTCGAGACTAGGTAATTGATGATGACAACTTTTTTTATATCTCTTCGTTGCTCTCATCGTTGTCGAAGGGTCAAGGCTACACGCAGGTCGATATAGTGCATCGTTTATGATATAATACAAATATTTTTCATTCATACATTATAATATTAATAATTTTTCATCGACATTGATGGGATATTTTGAAAATTTATTAAAATAACTCACCGAATATATTCTTTTATTTTATAATCCTGGTAGAAATTATGCTCAGCATTGTCCGGCAATATTTTCTTCTCATCAACTTCAATTAGCCAAGTTATCGTAAAAATGTAATGCAGCCGTGCTTTGACTTAAACCATTATTTTGACTTTGCCACTTGCAGATTTACAAATAAAGTTAAACACTAGCCATCTTGCGGTGGAGGCTTGAAGTTTTTGAAAACTGGTCTAAATTTTTTGAAAAGGTCAAATAATCATTTCTCGGTTATTTCAAATGCGTTTGATATTTGCAACTCAATCGTAACAGAAAAATGGCTAAAAACAAGACAAGTAATGGAAGTGTATTTTAAGCTATTTTAAATGAAAATTCTATGGTCATTAGGTCATTATTAATGTTGAGCATGTCTACCAGGAAAAGAATCCAAACAAAGTAAAAATATCCTCCAATGTCGATGAAACTTTTGAAATTCGCTTTGAATTCGGTATTGCAATACAAAAAATTCATTTGAACGAAGTATCATACGCTTGGAAACGTTCAAAATCATAAATGTATATAAACTGTCAAAATGTTTGTTTTGACAGGTTTTTTCATTCGATGAAAATTTCGATACTCTCAATTTCTAACTAACGAACTTTTTCTCTCTATCTTCTCAATTATATATAGAACGAATTCAAAGCGAGAATCTATTGTTTTCAATTCTGATCGATCGCGTGAATAATTGAACGAAATATCAACAAGTATCAAGCGGCACAGCAAAGCTCGAGTTAAAAATCCGTGTGAAAAATTAATCGATCAGAATCGAAGCACTCATACGAATTAATTATCCACGAATCGAACGAATGAACGGCTTATCAATAATCGTGAAATCTTTCCCCTGCCTCCTTTTTCCCCGTATTATCCCGCAGATGGTACAAATTCATCGAAGGCACGTCCCGCCGACAACCCGTCCAACTGAACGAACGAGTCCGTCAAGTGAGCGGCACCCTCATCATCCTCGAGGCTCAGGTCGACGACTCGGGCAAGTACCTGTGCGTCGTCAACAACTCCGTGGGTGGCGAGAGCGTCGAGACGGTGTTGACCGTCACCGCGCCCTTGGCCGCCGAGATCGAGCCTCGCAGCCAGATCATCGACTTCGGCAGGCCGGCCACGTTCACCTGCAACACCAAGGGCAATCCCATCAAGACCGTGTCGTGGTTGAAGGACGGCAAGCCCATCGGGCACGAGGACACGACTCTGAAGATCGAGAGCGTGAAGAAGGACGACAAGGGCATGTACCAGTGCTTCATACGCAACGATCAGGAGAGCGCACAGGCCTCGGCTGAACTCAAGCTCGGTGGTCGCTGTAAGTACCATAATTTCAAAAGCTACCACTATTACATTTATACCTCTCTAAATTATCGATTTTCTTTATCGCTTAGTCGAACCTCCTCAAATCCGCTCGGCCTTCCACGAGGAAACCCTCCAGCCCGGCCCCTCTGTACATCTCAAGTGTACAGCCAGCGGCAACCCTACTCCCGAGATAACCTGGGAATTGGACGGCAAGAAGCTGTCCAACACGGAGCGCTTCCAGGTCGGCCAGTACGTCACCGTCAACGGCGACGTCGTGTCGAATCTCAACATCTCCAGCATACACACCAACGACGGTGGCTTATACAAATGTATAGCCTCGTCCAAGGTGAGAGATCAATACGAGTCCATAACTGTATGTATCCACTTAGCACCTCTTATATACTCTGCACGTAGAACTACCCTTTTCAACTCGATGTAATGTAGTTAGAAATCAGTAGTTAGCGTTGCATGGCCACTCGCGTGTCTCGAACAACCGATTTACTAAAAAAAAAAACATCTTTATTGCGTTTCACGATGATCAGGTCGGCTCAGCCGAACACTCGGCCCGCCTGAACGTCTACGGTCTTCCCTTCATCCGTCACATGGACAAAAAAGCCATCGTGGCGGGCGAGACGCTGCGCGTCACCTGCCCGGTCGCCGGCCACCCCATCGAGAGCATCGTCTGGGAGCGCGACACCCGAGTGCTGCCCATCAATCGCAAGCAGAAGGTGTTCCAGAACGGCACCTTGATCATCGAGAACGTCGAGCGGATGACCGATCAGGCGACCTACACGTGCGTCGCGCGCAACGCCCAAGGCTACAGCGCGCGAGGCACCCTCGAGGTCCAAGTCATGGGTAAGTTCGTCTTTTTCGATGTTTTTTCCCCCGCGTGACCTCTGCCCCGCGGTAAAGTCGTTGATGCGGCCGTGAGCCTCGATGATTCGATCAGCGTATCATCGAACGATGGGAATTATGTATTTTTACGCGAGCGATCGAATCGTCGATCTGCGACACTCACGCAGCAGCGGCTGTGCGTTTGGGAAAAAACGATTTCTTCGTTCTGACTATATAAATCGTTGAATGAATCGGCGGCTATCAGTTTTTTTATGTATATTAATTGAAACGGTCGATTCACGAACTGGTAGCCGCTCGATTGAAGACAACATTTTATTGCGATCGACGAATTGATCGAATTTTTCTCAATCGCACGATTCGCAATATCGGATTATGATCGTCGATACAATTGGACCAATCGACGTTAGATTGGGCTAACGTCTCTACATCAACGACGAGGATTTCGAAATACTTTACAGGAGTGGACGACGAAAAGTGTGCTGTAGTAAAGCACGTGGATAAAAAAAAAAGCGATCCAAGCGTTACACTCATATAGGGTTCGTTAGGGCTCATGGAGGTCTCGTTTTACAATTTTCCAACTGCGCCTAGTATATGCGCTGCGTAGAAAAACGTGCTCAGCCATTCGACATAATCAAGTAATTCACTTGTTCTACTGTGTGCGTTTTATTGCATATACGCTGTAATATATAATATAGCTGAGAGCTTTCGAATGCACAGCGGCAACCTCGAATAGAAGGTTCATCAAAAATCGCAATTCAAACGCGTTATTATGTGCAGTTATTTTTTGCGAAGGAAGGTGTACACGGTACAGGTGATTTGTGTACATAATCATCCAAAGATGCTAATTGCACAATGCATAATCGAGCGAATCATCTAGATAATTAGAATCGCGAGCAAAATTTTTTTTTTCAAACTGCCTTTAAATGTGCAGTCCATTATTAAAATTGCAGATGTACGTGTTAAATGTATGTTGTTTCGACGAGCTATGATACTTTTTTGCTATATGTATTTTGTATCAACGCAAATTGGTTGGTATGGCGGTTAATGGATACGTTTGATGATTTTTGATTTTTTCCTTTTTGCTCGCGTGCTTACAGAAAGAAGAAAAAAATATTATAAACTCGCACGATCGTATGAAATGTGTCAAGTTTTTACTCAGCGCAATATTTTTCCGTCGCGTTGCGCGCAAGCTTGCAAATAGTGGCAATCAACGGATCGTATATTAAACGCGTGTGTATGTGTACGATCGTGAGCGCTAAATTAACTCAATGATCTCACGCGCGCGCGAGCTGGCAAGTAAGATATATCGTATTATGGTAAATGTCACTGACACGCGTGAAACCACAAAACTACGAGTTTTTTTCACTGCTCCGCGAAAACATTCAATTGAGGCCTACATTAATAATAATGTTACGTGCGTTATTATTCGCGCTCGGCAAAAAACAAACTTGCAGAATCGCCGCACATACAGCCGTTCACGTTCACCAAAGTACCGATGAACGCCGGCGACTTCGCCAATCTCCAGTGCATCGTCCCGATCGGCGATCTGCCTCTAAAGATACGCTGGCACTACCCCGGCGAAAAACTGGGAGGCGCCTCGAGCGTCATGGTGAAAAAGGTGGCGGATCGCGTCTCCATGCTGATGATCCCGACGATCACGGAGAAGCACGCGGGCGATTACGTGTGCCAGGCCGAGAACGCGGCCGGTTCCGTCGAGCATAGGGCTTCGCTCGTGGTCAACGGTTGGATTATGCATAAAAAAAATATTGTTGATTTTTTTTACTATTATTTTTGTGTCAGAGAGATATTAAATATATTGGCTCGAATTGGCTCAGTTGAGAAAGCATCGTATTGAATATTGTAATATATTTATACCCAGGTAGAATATTGTTTATTATATTTTTTATTTGCTATAGAAAACATTGTAATTATATTATAACCATCCACAAAAATACCTTCCATACATAAGCCCTTATACAACATGCAACAATTCATCCACAATTTTAACATCTAAAGCAAAATAAATAAGAAAACGTGTGTCGTCTCAGTCGCGCCGCAATTACTGCCGATCGCATTTAACGCCGAAACCGCGAACGAGGGCGACATGGTCTCCGTGGCCTGCTCGATTCTCAAGGGCGACGCGCCCCTCAACATCAGCTGGTCGTTCAACGGTACGACGATGGAGGACGACCCCCTGTCCGGCGTCACGATCAATCGCATCAACAAGTATCTGAGCACGCTGAGCATCGAGTCGGTGGCGGCGAGACACGCCGGCGAGTACGCCTGTCGCGCGCAGAATCTCGCCGGCGCCGTCAGTCACACGACTTTCCTTGCGGTCAATGGTAAAGAAATGAGAAAAAAAAAAGGAAAAAAACTAATAGACGTACTCGATTCGTGTAATGCAGTAGCTCGAGATAACTAATTATTTGTCTAATTTTTTTTTGGTAATTGTTCGAGATCGGTGTACGATGTAAATATGTTTTCGTAGAACATAGTGTAATAGCTGCAGTATACATCACTTCATCGTTATAATCCTTCTCAATTTAACCCGTATATTTACAAACACGTCTCTCTCGCTCCTATATCTTTTGATTAAAAATCAATAACATCCTCATATAAATACATCGACGAATAATTGCGTATCAATAGATGTATAACTGAATAATAAATCGCACTTAACGTAGAGGATATTATTAATACCGATCGCCAGACGCTTAGAAGTCGTAATAAAAAAGTAAAAAATTAACGTAATATCGATTCATATAATCTATGACTGATCCATATAACCGCCATATCAAATCGATTCGCTATTAATTAATAATAACATGCCATAATAAATTCATATGTGCAGTAAGTAATATTGTTTAAAGCGAACAAAAACAAAAATCGTCACAGCGCACACATAATGCATACACTCTCGAATACATTATTATTATTATCATCATTATTATTTGTTGTTATCTCTCGCTTTCTCTCGACTCGTTAATTATCTACGCGTCGAAAATAGTCGCACCGCAAATACTGCCGTTCACGTTCGGCGACGAGCCCGCGAACTGGGCCGATCTCATGTCGATCACCTGTTCCGTGGTCAAGGGCGACCTGCCGATCGACATCAGCTGGGCCTTTAACGGAGAGCCACTGACGGAGGCTCGCAACGCCGAGCTCGGCGTGCTCGTCGCCAGTACCAATCGGAAAAACAGCGTCCTGAGTATCGAGTCGGTGCAGGCCAAGCACGTGGGCGAGTACGCGTGCCTGGCGACGAATCGAGCCGGCACGGCCACTCACGCGGCTTACTTGGCCGTCAATGGTAGTACTTGTGAATGAAAAAATAACGAGTGTGTGCGTGATGATTGAGTAAAAAAAGCACCGTAAATACACTTCTGTTAATGTAAAATTTCCAAAAAGTCATTCCTATGCCTCGATATTTCGCAACTCAGTGTTACCGCAAATCCTCGAGTTCTCGTTCGGCGAGGCGCCGCTGAATTCCGGCGAGATGCTCTCGCTGTCTTGCACCATCGTCAAGGGCGACCTGCCCGTGCACTTTACCTGGCTGTTCAACGGCCAACCGGTGCTCGATCGCAGCGAGTCGAACGACCTCGCGCTCATGCAGCCGCAGCTCAATGTCGTGACGACGCCGCGCGTCAGTTTCTTGAGCGTCGACAGCGTCGCGGCGCGTCACGCCGGCAGCTACACCTGCCTGGCCAATAATTCAGCCGGACACGACAGCCACACGGCCAATTTAGTAGTCAACGGTACTTCGATATTCGGCTTTTATCGTTTTCTTTAACAACTATTTTATATCTTTGAATCCTGCATAGGGCATAATTGATGCGAATATTCCTCTTGTTATGATCTTTCTTCTACTATTATCGTCGCAGCTCTGTAGTATATTTCAAAACGCTTACTTGAAGTAAATTCGATGTTGTAGAAGATATGTAATTTGACATGCGATGGTATTGTACAAACTTGTCAGTTGTAAATTTCGCGTTGAACCGTAAGTAATATAAATAAACAGGAAGATAAATGTGTAAAATATAAACAAAAATACAATCCCAACACTACTCGAGCTTTTTTGATCAAAAGCATGGTAAAAATAAATAATTAAGTAAGTAAAACGCAATTTTTCCACAAAACATGAGTGTGTCAGTACATGTATGCGTGTCTCTCTTCACCCTGAATTACAGTCGCTCCGCAAATCGTACCCTTTGAGATAGCCGACGAACCGGTCAATTCGGGCGACTCGATCTCCGTCGTTTGTGCCCTGGTCAAGGGCGATCTGCCGATCGACATAAGCTGGTCGGTGGACGGCCAGCCCGTGGCTGAAAAACACGCCGACGTTGCGGTGCTGGCGACGACGAAAAAGAACAGTATACTGAGCATCGAATCGGTGGCCGCGAGGCACGCAGGGGTTTACACCTGCTCGGCGGCCAATAAAGCTGGTGCTGTCAGTCATTCCTCGATTTTGAAGGTCAACGGTACGGTGACGCGTCGCGCGTGAATTTACCCCTACTATCACGTTGATTAGATTTATAACGATAATTGCACCAGCACACGTATATCATACGAGAGATTAAATCCTCCTGCCCATATTCAATCCTCCGACGACTCAAATTCGAATCGACGATCTTTTTTTCTCGTCTTTTACATCTCGTAATCGGAATTTTCTCTCAAGTTTCGCCGCAAATCGTCCCGTTCACGTTCGGCGACGCTGGCCCGGTTAATTCCGGCGAGTCCGTGTCCAGCGTCTGCGCAGTGTCGCGAGGTGATCAGCCTCTCGAGTTCAACTGGTATCTCAATGGCCAGCTTGTCGATCCGGAAAAACGTCCCGGCCTGCAAATACTCACGAGCAAGCGCAGAAGTTTATTGGAAATCGAAGCGGTACAGGCTAGCGATGCTGGGGAGTACACGTGCTCAGTATCAAATCAAGCCGGCGCGACCAGCCACAGCAGCGTATTAGCTGTCAACGGTGGATATTAGTTTATTTTCATTTTATTTATTTT